CCAAATGCAGTCACATTTCGGGTGTCGGTTCCATTTTCCATGGGAATACTGTCCAACTTTGAGGTGATGAGTTTATTCATCAGACCACTATCTTCACCTTCAGTCATGGATTTACCATGCGGTAGTGACTCCCTTATCCTGCTCTCAGCTCTACCGACCTCGTGATCGGTCTCAGTGCTTGCGTTTGAAGCGATCCCCTTCTTCTCTGTATTATGTTCCAACACCTCAAGGTATTTGATGTTTTCCGCATCAGATTTCTCGGGCGAAATCCCCATGCCTGGAACAGCTTTCTTGGCTGCATGATTTCCAAAGACAAAAGGGCTTGTAATCCTATGTAAATGACTATCCTAATGTTTAGCAAGAACAAACCAGACAAAAATAGAAGATTTGTCAGCTAAGAAACAATTTCTTTTCTTGCGAAAATCTATAACCATCGATATTAATCACCGAGGGAAGAACTCGAGGAGCAGACATAAGCGGAGCTTGGAGGCTCACCTTGCAGAGTAGTGCCGCATCCACCGCAGCGGTACACCAAGAAGTCGGCGAGCTCTGGGAGAAGTTTCTCGCATTTGGGGCACCGCACCACACGAACCTTCGCTCCAAATCCCTCTTCTGCCATCGTTGTCACGAGACACACGGTACGAAACGCCTTAAACCCTTCAAAACCCTATCAACCTCCGACCTATTTCCAGCACCTTAAATATTCGAGCAAGATCACTCCTTTATACCACCAAGCAAGACGATGGACCAAAAAAGGAGTCGCCCTGGCGGCTTCCAGAAAAATTGCAGCTCAGAAAAAGGAGTTGGACGTCATTTCCACGAACTTCTCCACCGGGCCGAGATCAAAATCGCTCCTTTCTCGGGAACTGGGAAAGCATTCCGGCACTTCTTCCTCCCCACTTTAACCCATCGCGCCTCCGCCATGTGAGTGAGAGAAAAAGAGGGATTCAAAAGCAAAAGAAGAACAGGCGAAAGGCGGGGTTTTGGCAGGAGTAATCATGAGCGATAGAGAGCGGAGGAACGAAGGGCAATTGGCCTCTTTATTTAATCCGCTACAGCTGCTGGAGTCGCGATTTATTGAGCTCGAGTTTGATACGGTCTCCCGAGTCCCGTGTCAAATTCTTGTCTTCTCCACGAATTAGTCTCGTTCTCCGAGTCAATGGAATCCATGAATCAATTTGGCTGATCTAGAGAAACAGCAACGGAGATTCTGGTCGTTGATTTCGTGATTCACGAATCCTGAAGTAATGAGACTGTTGGATCCGACCGTCGTTGACTCTTGCGCCGCCGCAAAACCACGCTGATTTCCCCCCCGCGGCCATGACTGCCATCGCCTCAAGAGTTCATATCCAGACGAGGAGGACACAGGTTGAAATGACTAACCCATGTCTCTGTATGTGGGGAGGCGTTTCCTTCTGCCTCCTCCTCAAGGCTGTCTTCCAAACCCCCGTACGCCACCCTCCATCGTAGCTTCAACATGGCCCCCCATGTGCCGCTGCTGCTACCACTACGTCCGCATGCCTCTACAAGCAGACAGCCATAGCTGGTGGCCCTGCACGAAACGGGACGAGGAAGACAGTCTGACACGCTGTAATTGGCGACAACAAAGGTCTTCCTTCGAACATATCTTCCATTCATCCATCCATCTACCTATCTATCATCCCAGACTTCTGACGTAAACACATGTTTATGATCTGTGATGGTTGTCTGCTTGTAGAGAGGCATTGCAGAATGGTTCTTTTATGCAAAACAGAGGCCGTCAGTCTCCCTCGATCTAATGATTCTTCAGGTCTGTTATTCGTCCGAGGTCAATTTGAAGGTTGAATTCGATTCCTTCCCCAAATGGATCCATGGAGAGGGGATCGACGAAGGCAGGGAGAGAGCTCGACAAGCAACCAGCTCAGCATCTGTTGTCTTACGGGAGTACCCGTTCGCGCTTCTGCTTCTTATTCCACCACAGGAGAGAGAAAAAGGAAGGGGCCCACTGAGGGGGCAGCTATAGGTGTGTCAGGTACGGCGGAGGGGAAACGAGACCGAGCGGTGTCACTTCTATGACCGCTTAGTTCCTGATGTGTATGCGTGTACGACTGCACGTGAAATGACGGAATTAGACATAGCGTGAGGGTAGAGCGGATCCAATAGGGAGGGGTATTTGTGGGATTCAAGCGGAGGGTGGGCGGTACGTCACGCGCGTCACGAGGTGGTCGTCGGCAGAAAGAATCCAAAGTGGGCAAGGCAGGTGTCTTCGGCACGACCTCGGACAAGCTTGTGCTTTACTCTTGCCTGTCTGGTGCGAACCACGACGACCGAATCCACAGCGAAGCAAAGCAGAGCAATGGCCCGCCATCACCCAGCCCGTAGCTACTGCGACGGTCACTGAATGGTCCGGTGCTCGCTAGGGTGAGGGCTTCTCCTCCGGCGATGATCCGCTGGAGAGGGGAGTCCGTGAGCGTCCCGCGACTGATAGAGTTCCTCCGGTCCTCGTTTCAGGGAGGCATTGCTGATGGTTGGGATCAAGAGGGGGTCTCTCGGAGGAGTTGACCGTGAAGGCGGCGGAAATGATCGAACTTGAGGCGTCGAGCGGGATTTGGAGATTTCGAGAAGCAGGTGTACGGACGTGGAGCAGTGAGTCGAGAAATGCGAAAGTGAGGGAGGAAGAGGGGGAGGAGGAGGAGGAAAGGTGCTCTTTCTTGGAGGCGAGGATTCGGGATATTGATGGTGGAAAGCTTGGTGCTGATAAAGAAATCGAGAAGCGTAGGACGCGTCGACCTCGAGGAGGAGATCGCGATTAAAGGAAGCTTGCAAGGCTACGAACGAGAGGGAACAGAGGGTTCAATAGAAGATTGCAGCTTTGCTTGAGCTGCAGAGGAAGCAGGGTAATGTTGGCAGCTGGAGGAGGCAGTGTAACGTGGTGGAGGCCAGGGTCTCATTACTGGAGGATAAGAACCAGGAAGATGAAGAGGGAGGAAGAGAAGGAAAATGTTAAAGCTTGGGTTGTGCGGCAAGTTGAAGTTGCTTCCGTTGTAATAGTGAATCCACCTACAAAGGACAAGGGAAGTTCTATATTGGGGGAGAGTCATTGAGATCAGAAGAAGTGAGGACAAATCAAATGCTAAGGATCACATCGTGAAGGAGGAAGACGTAATAGAGGGAGCTTGGATTACAAGAATGAATCATATGCTGGAAAGAGTACTAAGTTGGTGTAGGAAGTTGATAACAGCCATATGGATGGGTTCTTTAATTTCGACGACTTGTCTGCGGAGTAGTTGGCAGTGACCATGAGAATGGTGATGATGATAATGTTCAGATTGCCAAACTCAAGGGAATCACGTGGTGCAGTGAAAGGAAGGTTGTCGTGAGAGTTCACCAACTCTTGGTGGCGAGCATGACTTCGAGAAACAAGGCAGCAGCATACGGGAAGCTTGGATATCCAGACAGTGAAGATGATGAAGGATCAAGTAAATGGGAGGGAAGAGGTTGATGGCATCAGTCTCACAGAGTGAGGGGTTGAAAGTTTCGTAAGTGATCAGATAGTCCTCAAAGAGAACCTATTTCAGAAAATTCTTCTGAAAGAGTGGATAGTGAGTTAGATATTGATGATGTCTTTGCTGGTATACATCTGAAAAGAATGATAAGATTACATCTATCTGTGAAGGAAACACTTCTTATCGATGGGCAGGGATTCAGCAAGATCATGCATTAGTTGATCTTCTTGATATCATGATCTTACCGATCCAGTGTATTTGATGGCTAACATCTTCACTGTTGCTAATATTATCACTTTTGATTCTAAGTGAAAACATATTTTAATTTGTATGCACGTAATGGTTGTGTGTTCATCTCATGTGCCACTTTGTTTAATAAGAATATGCTATAAGATAGTCATAAGAACATCAATGCTTTATGGATCAAAATTTTTTAGCAGTCAAAAAAGTAGGAGCTGTTTGATGTAGTTTTTGATTTTGTCATCTCAGAAGTGAACAAATTGACATGCTTCGTATACGGGATTATTCTATCATAAATCATCTTGAAATTGAGAATTCATGCCGTAGCTTAATTGACTAATCTTGTTTCAGGGGATCTATGTGATAAGGCATATTTTGGACTCCAGCCACGTCACCACCCGCGCCCCTACCACATCAACACGAGGGTGGACTTCCGCGCGCCAAGATAGAAGCCATGTCGAGGCACCTCTCGGTACGTCCCGTCCTATCCCGGAAAGCTCGGGATGGCGTTGCCTTGTCACGGACAAACTTCTCAACAAGACGTTGGATGTAATGCTTATGTGTGTCCGTGTCTTTTGACATGTTCATGCCCTGTACAGAATGTAAAGGGGCGGCCGAAGGCTTATAAGTCCCATTTTAGTTGGGTTGGTGGCCTCTTTAGGCTTGTAAATAAAGGTTGTGTCATGTGGACACGTGAGAGAGCTTTTCGGTCTGTAATGGACCATTTTACCCTTTGTTGTGCCACTGTTCAGAGCTTGTAAAGTCTGTTTGTAATTTGCATTGCTTATGAAGTGTTTTTCGGACATGTTTGCTTGTGGATCCCGATTGAGGCGTTCTCTCTTACCTGTTCTCTCTTTTGTTGGTCCTAAGGGACAATGGGAGTCTTCGGGGAGGCTGACCTTTGCGGACGGACACGCAAGGGTGCCGCACAACTTAGGCAAAACCAGCTAAGTCCGTGTCAGCCTGGCGCCGTTCCACACATTCCGGGACAACGGCCACACAAAGGTACCATCTCACCCCTCGGGGATCGATCGTCGCGTCAAACCCGCGTACAACCGATCCTCGCATAGTAGTATAAAAGCCCACGATCGGCATATGACCGAAGGAGGCAGAAGAAAAAAAGAGAAATCATTCACTAACTTAGTCATCGAGGGGCCAAAGTTGGGAACTTCCTGACGAGGGCCTTCTATGCAGGAGTGTTGTTGCCCCCAGAAGTGCGACTACCCCGACCGATAGACGCCCTCTCTGAAGACGATGTCAGCGCCCCGATCAAGAGAACGCCTCCCCCATGACGCTAGTGTGCCGACCGAGAGGCGCTTTCCCACATATGGCGTTGGCATCTCGACTTGCGGATGTAATCAACCTCGACGCCTCGCCCAACCGATCGTGTACTCCCGACATCGATCCCCAAACCAAACCGTGTTGACACATCAGCCACGGTACACTCGTTCATCAACACTATGGTCGCAGATTTTCTTACAAATGGTGATCCCTATGGCCTACCAATGAACTCTGTCCATGATTTGGAGAATTATGATCCATAAGTGCTTGATTACCGATGTAAGCTTGTTAGTTGATACACTAAGCAGTTTACAATCTACCAGACAAACAAGAGCCCTTCTTTCATCCATCGAAACTGATGCTGTGGCTCAGTTGTTTTGCCCCAGCATCGACCGCAACCTGGTCCGTGCTTCCTCAAGAAAAGCCTTGTTAGTTGGAAATAAATGGTTTGTCGGGCGATATGCTATTTCTACTAATCAGCTATAGCGGTTTGTCATAGTGCAGGTGATCTTAGTTCGATTGCAGTGACTCTGTGTTCATGCAAATGATACCGTTTGATGGTCACTTCCATCTTTGTAGATCATCTCCCGTCATGATTTGATGCTTCATCAAACTCTATGGTAAATGGCTCTGTCCTGTCCTTCTGGATCCTCTCTGTCCAGATGAATCATGTAGAACACAGACAGACACTTGTGTTTGAGTCGGTATTTGTTTAGTTGATGCTCTGTGCAGATATCGTTTAGTTACATGTGTACTCCAGTGGCCCCAAAATGTGTGCTGGTTACAGATGGAATGATAACAAGGTTAATTTAGAGAGCTATCCTTTTTCCGGAACAGATTCCATGGACCGAAAGCTTTCATCTCTGGTAAGCACAATGCCATCCTCATCTGTTATAAAAAGGCCTCCTTGGCTTACACTTCTGTTCTTGAGAGACAGAGAAAGAAGCAGCAGCATGAGCTCGGTTGGGCGAGGCGTGGCCACTATGAACCTCATGGCCGACGGGGAGGGACAGCAGCATCAGCAACTGAGGGATGGACGAGGCTGCTTCCAGATGCCGGTGCGCTACCCTACGTACACCCAAGCCGACTATGAGGCGATGCCCGAGTGGAAGCTCAACTGCATCCTCCGAGAGTACGGCCTCCCGGTGACCGGTGACATCGACGATAAGAGGAGGTTTGCCATGGGCGCCTTCCTCTGGCCTGCTCTCTGAACCAGATATTATATATATATTTAATACATGTACAATACATACATAAGGCTACTTGTCTATGGAGAATAAACTGCTATGTAAGATGTGGGAGGTGCTGTATGTTGTTATTGCCTGTAGAACAGAGTTCATAATGGACATATTTGGAGTATTAATTCCAATGTCTGCCTTGATGTGGTTGAGTTCTCGGGTGATGAGTTCATAATGGACTTACTCCATTGGATAAGCTCGCTCTCCAAGGGAATTCAGAGGAACGTCATGCAATGAGGATGACAGGAGGAGGAAATCATCTTTCGAGCAGCAAATCTCCTCGACGAAACAGCGATTTGGTTGTTTGACACAAACCATCATGTAGATGAGATTGTTTCCTTGGAGTGTTGGATTGATTTCGATTCACTGTCAAGTAGAGGGCTCTCCCGCTGCTCTTCATCTTGCAGGGACAATCAATGCATGTCATTATCGACATCCATGCTCTTCCCCTGGAATCTGGAAAGGGAGGAGAATAGTCATCTTCTACCAAGTGTCAGACTAAGGTTAGCTTGCTTAACAAGGTGTGATGATGCAATGGCAGCTTCGTTATCTTCTTCTTCTTCGCCTTTAAGCACCAAATGGATCAAAAGAATAAAACTTCTTTACGTGCACCTTTTTTCGCTCGTCAATAGAGGAGGTAGCTTGATCATGAGTACGACGTAACACCTAGAGACATTTGGTCTGTTCCAAGTTGCTAAGACTAACTTTGCGGCAAGATATATCTTCCGGTGATGATATTAAAAAAAGAGAAGGATAGGATGTAAAATATCACCAGAAAAGGTGAAAGAACGTATTATCTTAGGACATCTGCAGCAGATAGGGGAAACAAGCACCCATCTACGGACTAGTTTGGACACATTTTAAGGCTAGAGATATCTCTCTCTCTTTTTTTTCTTTATCGCCGAGCACGCTTTCCCGAGGGAAACGAAACCATTGGGATGACCAAAAAAATCTTGGTGGCCCAGATGAGCTCATGAGGTGGCCATCTGCCCTCTAAGCAGAAAATACTTGACGACCTCATAAAAGGAAACCACGATTCCCACGGAAGGCCCTGCACGTCCCACGCGCGGTCCAACGCCCGTGAAAAGCCCCTTCGCTCCTTCGCTCCTGCACGCATTTTGTCAACAACGCATTCACTCTCATGCAATAAGAATAAATCTTCGCTCCATCCACAGAGCATGCCACCACCAAACAGTAAGTTTGCCCTTTCATGTAACAACACATCCAAATTACGGTCAGTACTCAATCGAGAGTAGATGCAGCAACGTACCTCCAAACTTGTACGATGGTTTGCCTCGTGGTTGTTTTCAGCATTCTCTCCGGATCCTTCTGAAACAACCATATCCCAAATTCCATGTTAGAGAGCAGTACATGAGTCGCACTTGCCATGCAATAACAAAGGTCTCCCAAATCGAATAACCACAAGTGTTAAGTGACACCCCCAAAAAAAAAACCAGAGGAAGAACGCTTTTACCTCTATCTGTCTCCGAGTTTTTGCAACATCCAGAGGGCATGTCACGGCAGCAGCAAGACTGCCCGCAACATAACCCGCTAAAAAGTTCGCCCCAAGAACACCAGCCGCATTGCCATCCTCACCAACTAGCCCAAGTAGGCGCCTTCTAATCTGCGGATGCCAGTGGTCAGAAACACACGTCAGTAGACTTAGCACATAAACACCGGCTTCATGAGGTGACGGCAATGAATTTGATGTGGACCAAGAGAAAATCTCACTGGCTCAAGAGTCGACCAGCAAATGGCAGAAAAAGGAACATCTCGAGCAAGCTGTGCTCCTGCACCCATCCACAGCACACGGTACCCTTCAACTGTAAGAGTAGTAGGCTAACAAGTTAAAGCGACAGCAGGAACCGACCATCAAAAAATTTACAGATATAATAAACATGTATTTTTACTGCACAAGCTGCAAAAGGTAATTTTCCTTCTATGTAGTGGCAATGTGCAATTTAAGAGCTGGAATTTGAAGTTTGGTATGGTGACCATTATGTTTCCTCCTCCAACACTATCTACTCCGAAGATACATATGAATAGTGATTAATGGGTAGAGGTATATGAACATACTTTTCTCAAGGTGATTGTTACTCCTGCTTGGTGAGAGAACGCCGAGTAGAGTCGTCCGTATTCCTGGTGGCTTACCTCCAGCTCGAGATGCTTTGAACGCCTGTTGATCAGTATAGCAGTTTTCTACATCCTCTAATAACATCGGATCATGTTCAGAAGAAAAAAAAATAAAAAAAATTGCACATATAATTGTTGCAATTTGTAGCAGCACTAACCCCTCACATTTCGTTTAAAATTAATGAGATCCCTCTTTCTCCGTACTTGGATCAAAACATAGGTTTGTCATAGATAGACAATCTCTAACCAAAAGGGGATGATTGAGCAATTTTTTATACCTAGTGATGACCCCAAAACTCACTTATAAAAACCTTCACTCTCTCTTAACCTTCAACAGAACATGGGAAGGCTTGTGTTTACTGTCTCCATCAATCCAACGACGAGCAGTCAGGCTTAAAAACTCCCTCTGATTGTGTCTACATTTTATTGGTCAAGGATCGACAAGTTTTTGTGATTTGTGAAAAAAAAAAAAAAAAGGTAAGGATCTACTGAATTGACGAAAAGGATCTGAGACATCACCTGACAAAAACACAGTTAAAAAAATATTTATAAACCTTCTCTTATTTAATTTTGGAACTACAACCACCAAAACTTGAACCTTAAGTGGTCAAAACCATTGAAACTAAACATAGAATGACTCAGACCATCATGAACATAACTAAAACAAGTGGAACAACTGAAACTACCATGATTGTTGAGACTGCCAAAACCAAAACTCCTGCTTGGGAGGGTCAACTAAGACTAGGAAAAACCTTGGTTGATCAACCCTGACTAATGAGTTTCTTTTTTGTTATAGTAACAGGGTCAGGCTAGTCAGAAAACTTCTTGATCATTGCAAGATTTTGCAAATCAAGGTTGCACAACTAGACCAAGGAAGCCAACTATGGTAGCCAAATTGGCCTAAATGTGCAAAAAATAATTCTGTCCTAGATGTTCCACAAATAACTGCATAGAAATTAACATGTATAATGAAGCAACAGGAAAAATACAAAAGGGATTTAGGCAGTGCCTAGTCAACGTGCAACGCCACAATTTAGTCCTACATTGGATCTGATGTAACAGGAGAATTGAGTCATTTTACATTACTAAATGGATCAACTATTATTAACCTGGGTTTAAGCACATTGGACTAATGGTTCACGTCACAACAAATCAGGTTAACGACAAATGGTTTCAAAACGAACTTAATTTTGGACACCGTTAGGACCCAAATAGAAACTGACTACTTATGAAGACATACCAGAACAAAGAGTCATCATTGCTTGTGCATTACGTCTTTTATACAAGGGTTTGATTTTGGGTCCAGCTGAGCCGTGTTAAAACTTGACAAAAATTTAAGTAGGAAATGTCGTAACAAAGGGACTAAACCAAGTCAGTTTATAGAGATAGACAAATTTAGCATTATTAGCTTGAGTCTGAAAGTTTTGGACCTCTGGTTCAAGCCTACCAAACTAATGAGTTAGTTATCTCAATAGACTGGATCACCACACATCAAGCTACTCAAGTATTTAGCAATACTTGAAATTGATGTAGGCATACCAGAACTCACTACTTAATTTGCAGGACCATGTCAATCTATTGGACAATTACACTCCATCAACCTACACATACAAATAAGGAAGAGAATGAATTCAACACATATGGAGCCCCTCTACGGTGCATGAGACTACTAACAGGTAAGAACACTTGAAAACATGACTAAACATGGTTTCTTTGTGGTCTATTACAAACATTTGATATTCAGGAAAAACTGATACCAGAAAAAAAAAACAAAAATGGAAAATGATTCACGAAACAAAACTTTCATGTTATAAAAGTAGTATAACAAATGTATTATTCACACGATCAAATTTTGAGTTTGTTGAACAAAAAATATTCATTGGTATGACACTGTACATATATCTTCCTACTTACACGTAGTTGATGGTTCTCATGTTTGATGCGTGTATACACATTCAAGTAAAATTTTAGTATATCTCTTTCACTATATAAATACTCAAACTTCAGTGTGACTACCTAAGCATAGCAAAACTTTCCAGATGGCCAAAAAATTGTATCATTAAATGTAAGCTACCTGCATACGTGTTCTTGCCAACTCAATAGGAGAGCAAGCTAGACAAGCCAATGTGCGTGCAGCTGAACCAGCAAGTAGGGGAACATAAGGTGTTAGATTAGGGTAACTATTGACAGCGATACCGTCCATCCAATTGCGCAACATGTCATAGCAAGGTAAATATATCCCCACCTGTCAGCAAAAAATTTGCAGCAGATCTCCATAAAGAAACTTGTGAAGTAAAACATAGAGACCAAAAATCCACACGGTGAAATCACAGAAGTTAAAAAACATTGCAACAGCTAACCAACTTTTATCCCCTTCTTTTGAGTGGAAAATGGTAAGACAATGGAGGTGGTTTACTGAGAAGTCAGTATCTCACTAGTAATAATAAGCACAAGAAACGTTGACAAATACCTATTGCAAGTGAAGGTAAGTGGACAGTCATTGCAAGTTGTTACAAGAAACTTATACTTGAAAGGAACTTGGTTGTCCTCTGATTGCAATAAAAAACAGAGCCAATACGATGCATTTTATATTGTTTAATTCTAGAAATGACGAGAAAGCATCACATTTATCAGCAATATTCACCCCAAATCCATGGAAACTATTATCAAGCATACAGGACGAAAATTATTCATCAAGAAATTTGAAGTCCACCTCTAGACTCTTGTTAAAGAGATGTCTTTTCGAGACAACGGTCAGTGAATATGTTTTCAACAAGATTTGATCTCTTGAACATGACAAATCATTTATCATTTTGCTTTCCAAAGGGATGTAAATAGGTGAAAAAACATTTATAGATGTAGCTGAAATGTACACAGGAAGATACAAAAAGAGGAAGACAGGAGACAATAGAACCCAATAAACCAAGTGTGTCATTAGTCAATAGAAGTAATTAGCCAATTTGAAGTTGCAGATCCAAGCTGGGTTTCACCCTGTTAGGTTTTCTTTTTATAAATAATTTAGCTCAATGCAAGTTAAATTTATATCATTGTGGTGGACAATGTAAAACATCCATATGTTTTAATGTTCATAAAGAAAGCCAACTTATGGGCTTATATGCAGAAATTCATAATTAATATTTGGTTCTTTTCCTTGTGTAAATGTGTCAAGAATCCCTTTCATAGCATAGTTACTACAAGGAATAAAAAGAACCTTGTGAAAATTGCAACAAAAGTTATTGGTAGTCAGTACAAAGGCTGTGGTTTATCAAGTTCCAACAGAAAAATACATTACCAGTAATTTTTCCGGAATGACACAGCCATAAACTCAAGTACAACCATAGCAAAAGACGTGATTGAATACTTGAAAGTGAAACAATGCTGGTGTTCTGTTAAAGAAAGAGAAACTTACAGTTGGTACAGCCAATACTAAGCTCGCATTAGTACCCCTCCACAATCTAACAAATCCTTCCTGTAAAATTTCTTCATCACATAGCAAGAAAAAATTGACAACTCATTCCTAACATAAAAACTTAGTGAAATGATACACAAATACATGAACTACATCAAGAAAGAGAATAAGTTCCAATACTAAAGGAATGCCTATTACCTGCTTAATCACCTTGTAGAAAACATCCAGTGTTCCCTTGTACCGGGAATGATCAGAAGGACAACATGTGCTTGCACAGTATCTTTCACCAAAGATATATGATGGGTAACACCTAACATCCATGCAAATCTGTGAAATAGAAATATATTAAGCTCAAGAATCCAAATAAAGTACATTAAAGCAAAGACGCTAACACTTTTGTTGCTCAAGTGAAATATACAAAGGAAAAAAGTAGGAGTCAACTTGATTATTTAAATTTCCAAAACTTCCTGCATGATAAATAAAAATAAGGTTAAAGATGCTATAAATAAAGAGAAACAGAAGCATACAACATTTAATAATGATAATTATAAAAGGGGAAAAGGTCGAATTCATAATGCCAGAAAACTTTAGCTGGGACAAAAAAGAAACAGATTATCTATTTTCAGATATTATCTACTTTCAAACAAAAGCATTGACATGCATAAACTTAACTGAGTTTTGTGTGAGCAATCCACTGCAACCCATTTAATTGAGCATGAGGAACAAAACCATGCTCTGATTGAGGAGACAGACCAAAGGTATGTTTCATATAGAAAGCACTATTTAGATTAATAGTAGTAAATCAAAAGCTTGGAGTTATATTCAAATATCAAGATACAGTTAGATCCGAATCCATTTTAATATGCATATACGATAAGAATTTGGATGGCAGAAAATTTGGATAGAAATGTCAGTACATGAAGAACAGCCGATGCAACCAATTGAAAGTCTCATTTACTTTGCTTTTATTCTTTGAACAGTAATATATTACTTAACCATTATGTGGTCCTTTCCATTCAGCAAGGCACCCAGAACAGGGTTCAAGAATCTTTGTCGAACAGAGGAAATTCAAGTAGAGAAGAAACAATACGGGCACACCGCATATCATAAAATAAAACCATAAGCCTTTCACCCTGATGTTGTAAGTGCTATAAGGCAACCTGATGCTGCGAAGTGTTATATGGTACTCCAGCTGCTTGTGCTTGCAACCTTGTCTGTAAAGAACAGAGCAAAGAAAAACATTAATGTCTACAAAGTATCTGTGCATCACAAAATTAGAGAAAACAGAACATTGAAGAGTTGAAGAATCAAATGGCGAAAATATTTGCATGAAGCACAACACAAAAGAATGAGCCTCTTAAAAGAGAATAGAAGCTTACCTCCAATCAACCGGAAGAAATAACGCATGAAAAGAATAACATAATAACGCATGAATAGAAGCTGATCCCACAATTGGTTGGTTCAAGAAGATAAATTACGCTTACCATAAATCTATAGCAAGAAATATACTTCAATCTACAGCAAAATAAAGAAAATGCACATCACAATGAACTCTGTAAGCGTAGCAGAATTACGATAAATCTACGGCAAGAAGGTCTTTCATTGTCCTACACAACGAAAATTTCCTACAAAAAGGAAAATAATTCTTGACATCAACTTATTCTGATTAACACAAGTTCTATACCAGGAATAAAGAACCCTTTCTTTCCTCAACCTGTATAATATAGAAACCATGAGGGTTGCGTCACAAACGTTTACAACGATGTACATCGCTGCTTCATCCCTCAAGAACGATGCTTAATTCGAACGATCGAGTCAACTGAGGATATTGCCACGACCCAAAACAATCGATTGCCGAAGCAAGCAAACCCCAGAACCCCACCAAATTGCTCGGACGAACCGCAAGAACGAAACACTTCTTAAATTCTGGTCAAGATGAAAAAAAACAGCCAAAGATTCGGAACAACGAAGAGGACACGTGGACATATCACCTTTGCGACGTCGAGGGGATTGACGATGATGGAGGAAACGAGGGCGGCGCCGGCGGCGGAGATGGCTCGCTCGGCGAAGCCCATCTTGGAGTCGGAGGAAGACAGGTGGAAAGGAGGAGAGGGAGAAGTGGAGGGGGAAGGGGAGGACGTGGCCTTCTCGGAGGCCGACATGATAGCGGTCGCTGGGATCATACGCACAAAGAGGAAGAACAAAAGGATCAATTGGCGATCAATTTCAAGGGGTTTCTCTAAATCTTTATCTTGCGATTCCTTTCTTCCTCCCTCCCATTCGTAACGTCCACGGACTAAGATGGCGGTGGGTCGACTCGGTTCGCGTTGGAAATGAACCGCAGATAAAATAAGCGACCGAGGAACGAAGTGGAGGCGTGTGGGTGTGTCCAGCTCTCTACGTTACATTTTCCCTTCAAAATTAAATTCTTTTAATAATAATAATAATAATAATTAAATATTTTTATTTCTTTGTGTGTAATAAATGACCTTTTTCCTGATGGTCCATTAATCAATAAAAAAAAAGACGAAAAATAAATGGCATGCATGTCAACATGTTCATGACACCTTGCGTTTGGCTACCTTAATTGGCTCGGATGAAGAACCACGGCCACGAGTCACCTCACGACATCTCGTCTGCTTCGGCGTTCCGGCGTCTCGAACGCGCAGGGGATAGGGAGGAGTCGTGGGGGGCCCACGCTGGTCGGAGCCAATGGGAAGGCCCACTCGGGTGTTTCGTCGTTTGGCCCTCGCACGTAAAGGGCTCCCTCACCACACGATCAAGGCGGGTTACCCCCAGCCGAGACGGGGAACACGCCAGATCCCTTGACATGGACCAGGGCCCACCTCTGGGACCGACCACTCTCCTCCAATTTTGTGCTGTAAAGATATGTTCCCTGTTCTCAAACGAAAGGGGATGTACGTCTTGTCAAAAGGGAACCACCGCATCATGGTCCACGCAAGCGGGGAATCAACCATTTGCCAAGAAAAGGACGGCCTAGATCACGTCGTCCACGTTGTGGTTAGCACCTTAACTAACGACTGTGTATCGTTTTCTCTCTCAGTCTGCTCCCTTCGGCAGCACCCCGAGAAAGCGGTGGGGGGACGGAAACGGGGATTCCAACCCTAACCCTAACCCTTCCTCCGTCTTCTCCTCCTCGATGAGATGGGAGATGGAGATGGAGGAGGTGGAGGCGGTGCTGGAGAGGATCTGGGACCTCCATGACAAGATCAGCGACGCCATCCACGCCATCTCCCGCGCCCATTTCCTCAGCTCCGTCAAGGGTCTCCGCAGCGGACGACAGCCTCCGGTGGCGGCGCCTGCGGCGGCGAAAGGCGGCGGGGAAGGAGGTGAGGGCAAGGGTGGGTTTGTCTTCGTGAAGGATTTCAGGGTGGAGGAGGACGGCGCGGCGATGGCGGAGGCCAGGAGCCTCAACGACATCCGCTCCGCGCTGGAGAACCTCGAGGACCAGCTCGAGTTCTTCCATGTGAGTTCCGCTACCTTGGCGATTGAATTCTGTCTTTTCCCCTTTCTTCTTTGTCGATCCAATTGATATTGTCGATGAAACCAAATAAGTCAGATCATTTATCCTTAAACAATATGATCGATAACATATGGTATGATTTTAATCGATTTATATATGCGGGAAGTTTGTACTTTTTCAAATTTTTTTCTCATTTGGGTTTCGGAAGGCTGGATAAAATTGTGCATTTTTGCAGCAAATTTTCCCTCAAGAATGTTCACTAAAACAAGATTATTCTTTTATACTTCTGGATTGTAGGATTTTGTTTAATGTTTATTTTTTCTTCGAATCAGTTCCGTCCATGTTGTTTCTGACTTGTTAAAAATTACTCCCCCCCCCTTTTTTTTTTGCTTCTCTGTGTATCAACCATCTAAGTTTTTGCAGGGAAACCCTTCTTTGCACTTTAAACTTCTATCTAATGTTTTTTTCCCTTCTTTTTTTTTCTGGTGATACATTATCAGCTATTTTTATGGATAAAGGAGAGTTTTGATTGGCTAGACTGGTCTAGGGGCATCTCAACTGTCACCACAGTTATAATGGGATGTCAGGTTCAATAATCAAAGAAGGTAGTTCTGGTATCCCATTGAGCTTCCTCTTCAAATGAACTCTGATAGCATAAATCCTGAACGACTCTTCAAACTTGTTAGTCAACAAAGGAAAAGAAACTTTAAACAGTGTTAGAAGAAATTGCTTAAAGGTCTTGGATTTGAGGTGCTTCACTTGGAGATGAGTCATGTTTATATCGGCAAAAGCTGCCACTTCTGCATTGTGGAGAACTTTTCTAAAGGTTGTGGTAGCTTGCTCTATTCTAAGTGCACATGGTCAGATTTTTTTGTGTCTTGAACAACTGCAGAGCTTTTCCATTGACCCATATTTTAGACTTAACGAATATGTCTGGGTTGCTCCTTGTTTGTATCAGTTTGAACAACAGAACACGGGAGATATTTCTACTTGTGAAATTAGGTTGTATACTTCTCCTTTTTGTCAATTTTGTTTTTGGTTCTGTATCTGGGTTAAATGATCTGTTGATTATTCTTTAAGCCACTTGGTTTGATTTGCAGCAGATGTCACACATATTCATGTATATGTGAAGCAGCAGTAATAAATGTCATAAAACAGCGGAAAGAAACTTAATTTTGGTTTGCTAGACCCTAGTTGGTTCCTTTTTCTAATGAATCTACTATAGGCAATCACAATTAAATTTCAGGTGTCTTTACATATTTAATAAGTGACTACAGGGGCTTGTTGACTTGTTGTTATCAATGCATGAGCAGAGCATGTCAGCCTTAAAACAATCTGCAGGATTCGGTGATCGTACATGAACATCTTTGATTGACTAATATTTGTAGTTTATTTAATCTCGTTAGCTTTTCCACTTGACCTTACATTTACATCTTAAGGGTCGCCTTTTATGATATGATTGTGCTAAATAACAGTTTGGCAAGCATGTTTGATCTACAGACTGTGCAATCACAACAGCGAGCTGAACGAGATGCTGCTATAGCGCGGTTGGAACAAAGTCGTATCATTCTAGCCATGAGGTTGGCTGAGCATCGGGGAAAGAAGTACAAAGTCATCGAAGAAGCTTTAGCATTTGTCGGTGATGTGCACAACATGGGCCATTTTGTCATGCCAGAGACCCTCTATGAGAATGACATGACGAGGAGTCGGTCAGGTAAGAATCTGGAAGACCATGAGAGCAAAGGGCCTAGTATGTTGATGCAAATGTTCATATCAAGCTTCGCCGTGGCCAAAAGGTCATTCGGATTGGTGGGCGTCCAAGGGATTTTAGGGAATGCCGCGATGTTCGCTGTAAGTATGCTTGCTCTTGTGCATCTCAATCAAGTTGCTTTTAAGGGTGAAACTGCACCCGCACGAGATCAGACGTTCTACAGGAGGAGAAATGAAGATAGATTCTCTCGGATGGATAATTCTTCACATAGTGGCCAATTGAAGCGACTTGATGTTCTGTCGGCTAGAGGATAAGATTGAGACATTGATCCCAGAGTAATGCCTGTACATTTTGCTTGCAGTCATTAGGAAGGTGAATTTTCCCAAAAAAATTTTGTCACTTCATAATATGCTTTATTGTTTTTTTATTAAATATTTTTCCCTGGTAATTTTCGGAGAGTCATGTATATGGTTGTATAACCTGTTTGTTCATAGATAAAGACAGTCTTGAGTCTGATTATTTTCCCTCCCCGCTTCAGGACATGCACTAGAGCTAAGAGTCATGTATTGTGAACTATAACTGCTATGGATGCATGGGGTTAAACTCCAACCACGAAGAAGATATTTCTGCGTGTTTCGTGTTTGATTCCCTTTTGGGGTTACTGCAGGCCCTTGTGTTGCCTAAAATTCCGAGAGAAAAAGTTAGAACACTCCCCCTGAGAGTTATCTTGCAATGGAATGGTGTTTGGCTCGTTCGCAAGTCATGTTCAGGTACCTCAAGGATGAAGGCAGCCAACCAAGGAGAGTCCATATATTTAGTTCAATGGGTCCCCATGTGATGTGATTTGAGGGAATAAAGGTGCCTACGGCTCTTTTTGGTTGGGGCAAACGACAAGATGTGCCCCATCATCATGATGTGATGTAAGTGCGCGTCATTGCCCCTCTGTCGATGATGAAATCAAAAGAGATCATATCTTTTGATGGTGATCACTCGATCAGCCCAAGTATACTGTCCACTATAGTTGGTGCCTTTATTCTTGCCGTGTGTAGATTGCTGCAGAACTTCACATAACGGGGAGAGAGAGAGAGAGAGAGAGAGAGAGAGAGATGCTACTGTGCTGTGCAATTATGCATCGTACAAAGCAATTCAAGTCGAAAGCATTTGCATATATGGGTTTTTTTTTGAAAAAAAAAATGAATAGAAAAACCTTTAATTAGCTAACCAGTTTGCAAACAAAACAAAAGGTCACAAAGCAGCAGTAGATGCCTCCCACACAGCAGCAACATTGGCCAAGTTGTGCACAAAGACAAAAAGGCACATGAACTCAACTTAAGACAGACTTAACAGTTCACAACTTCATATCATCAACAATAAGCTCGCATATGTCCATTCCTTCCACGTGGGAAAATTCTATGCCTACACAACCACAAAATGAGCCATCATTGTCTACAGAGAACCCCTCCCAACTTTCAACATTTCTAACTACATGCACTCTTATCGGAGTCCGCTCAGTCTTCTTATTAATGATCCTCCGCCAGATAGATTCACTGTTGACCTGCCGATTGCGAAACTGCACAGAGGCATCTAATGTGAGCAGCGGTTCGAGGTGATGAAGTCTTTTCCTTCTCTAACCATGCCCCATTTTACCTGATGGAGTCCCCCAAATGAGCCTGAACCCTGTACTCAAAATAAACATGAGAGATCGAATCTGACAATAGCTGACACCTAGGACATGAATTAGTTTGACAATGCCGAAAATTAGAAAGGTAGTGATGTTATTTTATATTGTCGATGGAGAACCGATACGGTTTGGTTCGATCTCGGAAGTGCAAACTCATTCAAGGGCCCCATGCGGGTCCATATGAGGGCGATCTAAGGGGGCGGGGGGCGTCGGGGCCGGACCTGGTTTGTACGATCCCAAGATGCTATTTGTTCGTTAGGATAAATTCTATGTCGTCTCAAGGTGCGTCTTAGTCTTGTCGAGGTGTATGTGAAAAATAATCTCGTTGTCTCCTTTAAGCATTAGAGGTTGGCTTTTATACCGAAGTTGTCGATGGCATGAGGTCGGTGGCTGGTTGGAGTGCCCCTTACATCGTCTTGGGATTCATTAATGTCGACGACTGATGGGCGTACTAACTTGTGGGTGGCGTCAAGGAAGGACAACAGCGAGGGTATC